ACAGTATGTGTGGGGGGGTCTTGGGGCAAGAAAAGCAGAGTGGGGGATCACGGGTCTGGGTGCTTGTGCCCTCCAACCCCATGTTTTGGGCACTTCTGTGATTCTGGGCTAGGAGAGCTGGGTCCGCCCTGGAGCAGTGTGCAGCCAAGGCAAGGGACAGCAAGTGTTGAAGACCCAGAGTAAAGTGATGGCTTGGCTGGTGGGGAAGCGAGAAGAGCTTTGTCATTTGTGAACTCCACCCGCAAGTGCTGAGAGCGGAGGCGTGGGGAGCCCCCTTCCCCATATGCTGAATTTGCCAGTGACCTGCCGCTTGGCACCCGGTTCCCTACCCACTGACGTTGAGCCACTCACCCGTCTGTCACTGGACTGCCTCACTTGATTTCATCCGGACACAAAGCGCTATCAAGCAACTGATGGCACCACCCGCCCATTGGAATGGTATCAACCCCGCGGGACCAAGGCAAGACTTGTCCTTGCCAGTCCTTGCTCTGCACATTGGTAAAACTCAGAAGCCTTTCCCAAGGAGGCCAACATTGTTCCCATTTTACAGCTGGGGAAACTGAGACTCAGTGGGGACTGTGACATGCCTGAGGTAACACACCAGGCTGGACTAGAAGCTCAGTTTCCAGTGGTTCAGGGGCTGTCTACATGGGTAGCAAAGATGTGACTGCAGCACAGACCAGCATAACCCGGCTCGCTGCAATCTGATTCATGTGGGGAACAACCACAGGGTGGGGGGGCTTCAGCAATCATGCCCTGTCTAGCTCATGCTGTGATCAAGACACCCCTGCTCAAAGGAGACAGTCCTGGGAGCTGCCTGCCGGCCCACAGTGAAGCCCAACTAATGGCAGCGAAGGGCAGAGTCTGATACCCAGCAGCCATCCTGAGCCCGCTTCTCCCATCCGCTCAGCCCCCCTCACCCTCTGACTTGCTGAGGCGTGTGGAGGGAATGCTTCGGACCTTGCCAATTCACTCCCCTTGCACCTCAACATCGGCCTAGAGGCACCACAGGGCATGGCCCCTGGGACCCCACAGTGTGCGAGAAACTAGGGCCTGACCTGACCCCCAGGTCAGGGATCAACTTGAGGGAGGGCCCTAGCATCAAAATCTCACTGGTGCTCAGGAGGCTACAGAGCCTCTGTAGGGGGTGCTGGCTCCGGTTCAGTCCCAGGGCAGGGGGCACAGGCTGGCTCACGGAGGTATGGATGGGCTCTGGGGATCCGTCCCTTCTAGGGGGCCCCAGCTCCCATCTAACTCCATGCAGGCAGTATAGAATCACAGAACACTAGAGCTGGAAGGGACCTCAAGAGGTCATCAAGTCCAGTCTCCTGCCCTCACAGCAGGACCAAGCACCCAGGGCTACTCAACACATGGCCCAAGGGCTGCATGCTGCCAATGGCCAGTTTGTTTGCGCCCCACGGTGCAGTTTGGGTTTATGTGGGGATCAAACACGTGGCCGGCAAGTGGGAGCCAAAACAAAAAAGTAGTCAGGGTAATGATCTTCTGTTGATATGCGTTTTAGTAGTCAAATTCTTGGACTGTCATTGCTCATGAAAAGTGCTGTCACATGGGTAGAAATCGGGTAAATGTTGCAATTTCTTAATATCAGCAGAGCTGACGTAAATGAGGCCTGTGTATTGTGTAGTCTTGCCTTAATCTTTGTATTCATGCCTGTCAGTGTGAGAGAAGCTATTTGTATAAATTTGCTTGCATATGCAACCACACTTAAGATGAGGCCCTCCGCATGTTCTGTAAGCATCAGTGTGGCCCCTGGGGCTTCCAAAGTTGAGTTGCCCTAGCTCATCCCTGACAGGTGTCTGTCTAACCTGCTCTTAAATATCTCCAGTGATGGAGATTCCGCAGTCTCCCTAGGCAATTTATTCCAGTGTTTAACCACCCTGCCAGGCAGGAAGCTTTTCCTAATGTCCAACATAAACCTCCCTTGCTGTAATTTAAGCCCATTGCTTCTCATCCTAACCTCAGAGGTCAAGCAGAACAATTTTTCTTCCTCTTCCTTATGATACTCTTTTAGGTACTTGAAAGCTGCTCTTATGTCCCTTTTCAGTCTTCTCTTTTCCAAGGTAAACAAGGCCAATTCCTTCAGCCTTGCCTCCTAGCTCATGTTCTCTAGACCTTTCATCATTTAAGCTTTTTTTTTTTTTTTTTTTTTTGGAGTCAGATTTAGCT